GATCGAGGAGGACGACCATGTAATGCATAACACTTGTCAATCTTGTGACCTAGCTTACCACAATGTTCACACTCATGTAATGCATAACACCGATCAATCTTGTGACCTAGCTTGCCACAATGTTCACACTTAGGACGCCCTTTTCCCTGTTTACGAGGGCGAGTTCGGTCATCACGGTGAGATACCAATGCGTAAGAATCATTAACGAAGCGGGTGTGTCGGGGTTGGGTTTTGCTTGGTAAACGCAAAAGAGTGGAGCGAGTCGATGTCAAGGTGGGGACAACCGGAGAACCCAAAATCTGATCACGAATATGTGAATATTGATCAGCAAGTCCGTGTAATGCCCCTAGCATGAAGAACTTTGATCGTTGTGCTATCTCTAGGTAGGTGGTCGGGGGAAGGAGGCAATAACTCATTGAACTCATGAAAAAGAGCATGAATTTTGCCCATATAATCAGTCATAGAATCTTGATGTTTAGAGGCAATAACATCTACAAATTTAGAACGAGACATCATAGAGACGTTGAGTATCATTGGTGTATAATAACTTGGCATGTTCCCGGATTTTGGCACATGTTTCGTAGGAACGAAAAATTTGTTTTAACGAAGGATCAAGAGTACCCTTGAGAACCACACATAATTGAGCATCAATGGTGTCCCAACGATCTTCCTCACCAGGAGTGAGAGTAGGTGCTTTCGGGCAAGATGATCAAGATAATTCCGACTCTTAAGCCATAATCCGACGTCTGATGACCATGTGGCATAATTAGGGCCGCTTAACTTGTCAATGGATAAGTGCACATTAACATAGTTAGTGTAGATGGAAGGATCGGACGCAAGTACTAACGTAATTGGAAGTACTAAAAGGAGCAGAAGAAGTCATAAAGGGTGGAGGTGATAGTGACAGCGGCGTGAACTAGTACACCGGGTAAGTTCCCGGAAAGAGAGGTGGGTCACTAATGGACACGCTTAAATACCAAGTCTTTCCTTGTCGAACTTTCCTAGACATGCACTTTCACACTACCAAATAAACGACGACGATAGCGGTGGTGGCGGCGGCGGCGATGGTGGCGGCTTCAATAGTAATCAAAGGCGAAAAAAAAATTTCAAAATAACCTTAAGCTCTAGATACCATGTTGAATATAGAAGAAATAGAGTTTGGGATTAATCTCCCTTGTGTATAAATCACACATAGGGTAGTCTATTTATAGTAGAGAGATATAACTAAAAGAGTAACTGAAAGTAACAGAATAAACAGAAGATATTGTTAGATATTATGGTTAATATCTAACAATATCTTAACAATATTAAATAATATCTAAACAATATCTAACACACTCAACCACAACCAATGAAATTGGAAGGGAAAGTTCAAGACAAAACCGTTTTCATTCAAATTGATAGTGGAGCTAGCCACAATTTTATTTCTCGCCAATTGGTGACTCAACTGGGGTTAATGATCACACCCACTTGTTCTTATGGAGTCAGGCTTGGAGATGGCAACAAAAAAATGGCACAGGGCTGCTGTGAAGGAGTGGAAATAATACTGGGACAGGTTACAATGACAGAGAATTTCTTTCTCTTTGACTTAGGAGGTGTAGACCTGATCTTGGGGGTAGCCTGGTTATAGAAGCTAGGTGACATTAAAATGAATTGGCAAGCCTTAACAATGCAATTCGTGCAGAATGACAAACTAGTGCAAATACAGGGCGATCCAGGTTTAACCAGGTCTGTTGTATCACTTCAGACCCTATGTAAGAGTACTGAAATTGAGTTGTCTGTACTGTTATGGGTTTTGGATAAAGCGGTGCAGGAGAATTGTCAAGTGAGGGACTCCCCCGAACAACAGCAACAACTACAAGAAGTTTTGGATGCCTTTCCTGAAGTATTTGTTGACAAAACAGGTCTACCACCCCACAGATCAGTAGATCACGCCATTCCTATTAAAACAGGGACAGACCCAATTAACGTCAGGCTCTACAGATATCCACATCTACAGAAAAATGAGATTGAGAAACAGGTGTTGGAAATGTTGGCGGCGAGAATTATAAGGCCTAGCAACAGTCCTTATTCTATTCCTGTTATTTTGGTGAAAAAGAAAGATGGTAGCTGGAGGTTCTGCACAGATTACAGAGCCTTAAATAAAGCGACAATACCTGACAAATTTCCCATTCCATTCATTGAAGAATTGCTTGATGAATTACATGGAGCTCAATATTTCTAAGATTGATCTTAAGGCAGCATATCATCAAATACGAATGAAACCAGAAGATGTCCACAAAACAGCATTTAGAACTCACCAAGGCCACTATGAATATGTGGTCATGCCGTTTGGTTTGACCAATGCACCGACTACATTCCAGTACACTATGAATTCAATCCTATAACCTTTTCTTAGAAAATTTGTATTAGTATTTTTTGTCGACATCTTGGTATATAGTCCTCGGTGGGGGTTACACTTGGAGCACTTGAGGAAGGTATTGCAAACCTTGAAGAACAATAAGTTCACTGCTAATTTCAAGAAATGCAGTTTTGGACAGAAGGAAATAGAGTACCTGGGGCATATCATCTCAGGGAAGGGAGTTGCTATGGATAACAAGAAGGTTGAGGCAGTCATGCAATGGCCTTTGCCCAAATCAGTAAAAGCTTTGAGAGGATTTTTGGGTTTGGCCGGCTATTACAAAAGATTCATCTTGGACTATGCGAAGATTGCTAGACCATTGAACAATATGCTGAATTTGGGTAACTTCAAATGGACAGAGGAAAGTTCCGCAACTTTTATCAAATTAAAGACAACACTTACTACAGCTCCAGTCTTGGCTATACCTGACTTCACTCAACAATTTACTATTGAATGTGATGCTTCTGGGAAAGGCATTGGAGAAGTGTTGTCACAGAACAAGAAGGTAATAGGCTACTTCAGAAAACCTCTATCTGATGTATCTCTAAAGAAATCAGTGTATGAGAAGGAGTTGATGGCTTTAGTCTTGGCTATTCAGCATTGGCGGCCTTACCTACTCGGAAGAAAGTTTCTGGTCTATTCAGATCTGAAAAGCTTAAAATATCTGCTAGATCAAAGGATCACAACACACAGCCAACAAAATTGGTTAGCCAAATTGTTAGGGTATGACTTTGAAATTGTTTATAAAACTCGCACAACCAACAAAGTCGCAGATGCTCTCTCGAGAAGAGAAGAAGACAAAGATTTGCAGGCTTTATCAAAACCTTTTTGGACAGGCATCACAGATATTGATAGAGAAGTACTAACAGATCCTCACTTGGCCAAAATCATCACTGAGTTGCAAAAGGACCCGGAATCACCCTAGAGAATAGAAGGTTGTACTATAAAGGTAGGCTAGTATTACCCACTACGTCAACTTGGATCCGTCATCTGTTCAAAGAATTTCACGCTACTCTAACTGGGGGCCATTCCGGAGTATACAGAACTTATAAAAGGTTGGCCCAATCGGTATTCTGGAAAGGGATGATGAAAACTGTGACTGACCTAGTAGCTGCCTGCCACATTTGTCAAAGGAGTAAATATCAGACCTTGTCTCCTGCTGGTTTACTACAACCATTGCCAATTCCAAATGCAATATGGGATGATATCAGTCTGGATTTCATAGTGGGACTTCCCAAATCCAGGGGCTATGATGCTTTACTTGTAGTGATGGATAGGCTGAGTAAGTATGGACATTTTCTATTATTGAAGCACCCTTATTCAGCTAGGTCAGTGGCAGATGTGTTTGCCAGAGAAATAATCAGGTTGCATGGTATTCCCTCTTCAATTGTGAGTGACAGGGACTCACTTTTCCTAAGTAACTTTTGGTAGGAACTATTTAAGAAGCAGGGAACAACGCTGCAAATGAGCAGTGCATACCACCCTCAATTGGATGGCCAAACCGAGGTACTGAACAGAACTTCGAAAACTTACCTCAGATGTTTTTGCGCTGAGCAGCCTAAATCTTGGGCAGATTTCATTCCGTGGGCCAAATATTGGTATAATACCTCTTACCAAGGAGCAGCCAGGTGCACTCCTTTCGAAGTAGTGTATGGGAGGGCTCCTCCATCATTAGGACGATTCATTCTGGGTGAAATTCTAATTGAGACAGTGGCTCAAGACTTAATGGAAAGAGATGAGGTTCTTATCCAACTTAAATTTCATTTAAACAAAGCACAGGATCACATGAGCAAATATGCCAATGCTCATAGATCACCTTCCAGAATCAAAAAAGGGGACTGGGTCTACTTAAAAATAAGACCCCATAAACAGATTTCTATGCCGGGGAGACTGCATCCCAAGCTAGCAGCACGATATTATGGACCTTACTTAGTGATTAAACAGATTGGATTAGTGGCATTTCAGCTCCAACTACCCCCACATGCCCGAATTCATCCAGTTTTTCATGTATCTCAACTAAAGTTGGCAATAGGACATCATGAAGTTGAGACAGAGTTGCCTATGGATTTACAAGACAGGGGGCAAGGACTGCAACCTAACCAAGTGTTGGGAACTCGTACTTTAGACAGTCACAAACAGGTATTGATTAAATGGATCGATCAACCAACAGAAGGGGCATCTTGAGAAGCCAGAAGTGTGATGCAACAACAATTTCCAGAGTTCAACCTTGAGGACAAGGTTGTTTTTCAGGGAGGGGGTATTGTTAGGCAAGAGGAATCATCTGATGTAAATAGGCCTTTAAGGGTTTACATTAGGAAGAATAGAAATTAATAAGTGTCAGTTAGTTAGTTAGTTAGTTAGAAAGCTGTTAGAGCCATATTGGCAGTTATTTGGGGTCAGTTGAATAAATAGCTTCTTCCTCATGGAAGAAGGGGAGGGAAGATTTTGTAAAAAATAATAGTTCAGTTGTAAAAGAAGAACATTTTTCTTGTAATCGTTTGAGAGATTTCAATACCAGTGGATTCTTTCATTCTGTTGAGTGTGTTTGTTGTGTTCTCTGTGAATCTTTATTCATTCTAGAGTAAGGGCATACGAAGATTCATAACAAATACCTGGTACGAGGAACTAGCATGCGTGTGGCATCTAACAGATCTTGAAGTTGAACAGCACTTTTAAGTTTTGTCTGCAAACAAAAGACCATTAATCAAGCAAAAGAGCAAAACAAAATCTAGTAGCTCAAATAAAAGCATGCAAATATTACATATGTACTAGAAATTAGTATCACCTCAGCTCTAGGTCGACCTCCATTGTATTTCAACATTAGGTTTAGTAGCTTTTCTTCAGTAACTTTTAGCTTCACCTTCTGTTTGGGAGTTCTATCTCCACTGGCAAAACAAAAGAGTAAGTAGCAAAGAACAAGATGCTTAACTGATTTAAGTTTAAAAAAGGGAAAGAACATACTGGCGAATAACAGCAATTACACAACGTAGTTCCTCTGATTGTCCAAAAGTGCCAATAATACCACTTCCCTGACGAGTGAGTCCCTCAGAAGGTTGGACTGGTTCATTTACTTTCCACGGTAAAGTTGGTGGAATTGCAGAAGAAAGATGGGGTGCTTTTGCATCTAAGAACATCTTCCGCAGCACACAGGCAGTATCATCATAATATCTTCAGAAGTAACACATAAATATGATGAAAATTTCACCAATAAAATAAATGTCAAGGGAAACAAGCAATTTTCTTATTTTTATATTCTGCAGTGTGAGAAATCAAATAGTATTTTAGGAAAGAATAAATAAGGAAATTTGTATATTTCCTTGTAATCTGTACAGATTTGAATAATTAGGAACAATCCCATAAATCAAGGGATCCTAGCATAAAATAGAGTTATTATATTTCCTAAAATAGTTTAGGTCTCTTGTATATATCTTATATCATCTCTTTGTATTGAAATAATAAAATAAATCATATTTCGAGTTAATCTATTTTTCCAGATGGTATCGAGCTTCCGATCTAGGAAGCTCGGCTGCGCTCGATAAACCCTAAGACGGCAGCCTGCATTGCTCGCTGCATATTTTGTAACCCTAAGACGGCGACCTGCATTGCTGCTGCATTTTTCTTAACCCTAAGACGATGACCTACATTGCTGCTGCATTTTTCTTAATCCTAAGACGACAGCACTGCATTGCTGCTGCATTTTTCATAATCCTAAGACGACGACTGCATTGTTGTTGCATCGCACCTTTTGCTATAATGTCAAGGGAAGAGGAGATAGAAAGGGTGAAAACCATTCTTAGTAAGTCTGGAAAAACCTACAAGTATGTGTTCTTTGGCATACTCGGGTAAGTTTCCACCTTCTTTTGGATTAAATGTCTCGGATACGTCTTTTAACCATTATTGGATATTGGACTCGGAGCCACGAGATCACATGACACCATTAGCCAAACACTTCTCCACATATTCCCCATGTCCCAAGCAACAAGAAAATTGCCACAGCAGATGGAACCCTTATAACTGCAGCTGGTCAAGGAAATATCCAAATCAATCCTTTAATAACCTTAAAAGACGTTCTCCATGTCCCAAAGTTGTCCACGAACCTAGTGTCGATACAAAAACTTATAAAGGATTTGTCATGTAAAGTTGTTTTTTCCAATGATCATTGTGTATTTCAGGATAAGGATTCGGGGAGGATGATTGGACATGCTAGAGAATGGAAAGCCCCCGTGCATGGTTTGGCAGGTTTACTAAAGTTATGACAGGTCTGGGTTACAAACAAAGCCAAGGGGACCATACTTTGTTTTTTAAACATTCCAAGTCAGGGGGAGTAACAATATTATTGGTGTATGTGGATGACATAATATTAACTGGAGATAATAAAGAAGAACAACAATTATTGAGTCAATGCTTAGGCAAGGAATTTGAGATCAAGACTTTGGGAAAACTAAAATATTTTTTGGGAATTGAAGTTGCCCACTTCGAGAAAGGGATATTTATATCTCAGCAGAAATACATCACTGATTTGCTCAAGGAAACTGGCAAGGCAGCTTGCAAACCTACTAGTACCCCATTAGAACCAAACCTAAAGCTTGGAAATGCAGAAGAAGATGTTGCTGTTGAAAAAGATATGTACCAAAGATTAGTGGGCGAGACTTATATATTTGTCACATACCGGGCCGGATATTGCCTATGCGGTGAGTTTAATTAGTCAATTTATGCATAGCCCAAAGGAGACCCATTTACAAGCTGCCCACGAATTTTACAGTACCTTAAAGGAACTCCAGGAAAAGGGATTCTATTCAAAAGGAATGGTAATGTGAAACTTGAAGCCTATACTCGATGCCGATTATGCGGGGTCAATTGTGGATAGAAGGTCAACTACGGGATATTGCACCTTTCTTGGAGGAAATCTTGTGACTTGGAGAAGCAAAAGCGGGTGTAGTGGCTCGGTCCAGTCTTTGACGAGAATTCCGAGCCATGGCACAAGGTATATGTGAGTTGCTATGGCTTAAAATCATCTTAGAAGACTTGAGGATAAAGTGGGAAGAACCTATGAAGCTCTATTGTGATAATAAGTCAGCAATCGGTATAGCCCACAACCCGAGTGCGAGCATGATAGAACAAAGCATATTGAAGTAGACAGACACTTCATCAAAGAAAAGCTTGATAGTGGCTTGATATGCACTCCATATGTGTCCTCTCAAGACCAAATTGCGGACATTCTTACCAAGGGACTGGGCTGCCATAATTTTGAGAAGATTGTATCCAAGCTCGGGAATGGAAAACATCTATTCACCGACTTGAGGGGGAGTGTGAGAAATCAAATAGTATTTTAGGAAAGAATAAATAAGGAAATTTGTATATTTCCTTGTAATCTGTCATGATTTGAATAATTAGGAACAATCTCATAAATCAAGGGATCCTAGCATAAAATAGAGTTATTATATTTCCTAAAATAGTTTAGGTCTCTTGTATATATCTTATATCATCTCTTTGTATTGAAATAATAAAATAAATCATATTTCAGTTAATCTATTTTTCCAGATGCAGGAAAAAATAGAGTTTCAAAATTCTAATCTGTATTAATTCATCATCACAAACAATTTTGGAAAGGGGATTCTGTTTAAATTTCTTTAGCATGTAACAAATACAGTACAGAAAAAGGTAACCAAATACTGAAGAAAATACACGGGCTAGAGAAAAATCTATTCAGTCCACGTATTAGTGTTGTAAATGATAATTATGGTAGTGACAGTTTTTCAACAGTGCCAAGGCAGGTTTAAAATGGCGGCCACCATATGTGTGACACTTTTGGTGGTCATGGTGGAAAACTAAAAAAAGGGATGACTTGGACCACGTGGCCTGACCTAAACCCAGTCCAAAAAAGGTTTTAAAACCCTAACACTAAATCAAACTCACAAAAAAGCTCAACTATCTTCCTCTGTCTCCCTCATATACTTGAACCCCCCCCCTAGCAATTAAAAGCCACTGTTAATCAACTGCACCAACAACCACTGGCCACCTACCTATAACGACCATCCTCTACTGAACTAATTTTTTCTACCTTTTTGTTCTTATAATTCTTTTTGTGTAGGAAAATTTGTTTGTTTTTGTCAATTCTGTTCATTTCAATCTATTCTTTAATTATATTTTGATAATTCTTTTCATACACTATTCAATTCATTTTTTAAATGTATTTTTCAATTGTTTTCTTTTACTACTTATATTGCTTTAATCAAATCTATTTATTCCTATATTTCAATTCATTTTCTCTAATTCCCTTGGCATTGACAAACAAGATGATTAATTTGAGCTTCAGGAAGAGAATTAGAGACATTACTTTGTATTAGCATTGCATTGTTCTCATGTTTTGAACTCTTGAACTTGATGAAAATGAGGTTATTAGTAGTTCATGAAATTGTTCTTATGAGACTTATATGTTCTTTTAATTTATTTTGTGGTCCTTGCTATATTTTGTTAATATTTAGTTTTTTATTTGTTTCTTCTGTTTTGTAGTATTTATACATTAATATATATATATATATATATATATATATATAATTTTTTTTCTATTTTGTCTGTCATGGCTTATTCTATTGGCCGACAGACCATCAACCATGTCTATATGCAGATTTTACTTCAGCATAATCCACCATCCTCCATTGATAACACTTCAATTATTTTTTGCTAAACGGCAACATATGGGTACATGGGATTCTTGAACAGAGTATATAGAATATTATGATGTTTATGATTCTAGTTATATAGATACCTATTCATACTTACTTCTCTCCAACTTAATTTTACTAAAATATTTTATTTCTTAACTCATTCCATTGATTGTTATTTCATAGTTACGTATTCTGAGAGGAGACCCTCAGTTAGGAAGGGGTATGAGGAGAAGAAAAGAGAGCAGTTCGGAAGCACAATTCCAAACTGAAAAGAACTGAACTGACATATAACTAACTTGGACTGAGGAGAGAAAGGGTATTTGGATTCGGAACTGTTTAAGGAGATGGAAAGACTACCTGACACTTCACATTTGGGGCCTAGGGTTCTATCAATAAAATTTCAGTTGTTCTCTCTAAGATTTCTGGTCCAGTTACTATGATATTCTTTTAATAAAACTAATTTTCATATAAATATCAAACACAATGATTGGGACATTGGGCCCGCTCCGATATAACAATATACCAGAATTGATTCCCAACATCAAGATAGCCAACTTCTTTGCAATATTAACTAGACACAAAAATGCATTTTAGGTACAGGTATAGTGGTACTAATTTCAAAAAACAAGTTACAGAATGGGATCAGGTGATATGGCTCACAAAATTCAACATACTATGGAGTATGCACATTGGTAATCATGAAAGAAAGTCACAACTAACCATTTATAAGAATATATTTCAATTTTCAAACAGCACGGATAAGTCTTTTGTCGTGTAAGCATATGATATGAATAGAAGGACCAAACAAAATCCCCAACTCAAATATAACAAAAAAAGAGTTGTAAGATTTTCCGATTATAACTACAAGCAGAGATAATAATTACTGATGTATTTTGAACCAGATAGCAAAGGCAAAATAACATAATCACAACATATTACTTGTGTGAGTTTTTAACAAAGCTCCATCCATTCACATCACAGACATAAGAGCGTCCCTCACATCTCAAGAGATCAAACCCACAAACCTGCAAGCACAAGAATGACCTATGTAGTAGGAGAATAAGAGGAGCAGACTTTAAAATATTTCTTTCTTCAGCAAGACAAACCATTTTTAAAAAGTATCATGCATAGAAGTTGAATGCATATAATGTGCAAACGTCAATTAGCAACCCCTTATCAAGGCAATCAATGATAGGGCATTCTAATGCCTTGAGCCAAGAGTTCAAAAAACCATGTGCCTTGCTCTACAAATGCCTTAATGTTAGAAGAAAAAATAGAAAAAGCTAGTTTCTATCAGCATAATTTTACTACCCAGGCATAGCATTTGCAGTAAATATGAAATACTAATTACAAAACCCTAAGCTGCTGGCTGCTAACTAAGAGTCCACAGGATAGACAACTAATAATTATTTGAACATTCTTACTATTATACCCCTTTTAACATCAAAGAAAGCAACTTGCATCCCAAGGCTTTTTGGGCTTTTACAATTATAATTAGCCACTGAAAGTGTGATTTCCCTTAACCAGAAAGATACTCCAAAGGTGCTAAAGGTATGCGACACATTGAAAAGATAGTTCCTCAGCCAACAAAAGCAACTGAATGTTGTACGCACCTTGCCTCAGCACCTTGTTACACTTTGCCTACACAACCCCTTGTCAAAACAAAATTAGCCACATAATCCCAGGACTTAAAGAAGTATAATGAAGTAGAAAATTAAACAACTATTTCCCTCGAGGAAAAAGTATTTCCAATTAAATATGAAGTAATGATAAAACAAAATCATTTACAAAAATTTTAATGACAGAACTTGTTAACTTGGTTATTTGTCCAAAAACGGATTTAGAGTATACTTTTTAAGCTAGTGGTCAAACTTCTATTAAAAGGAAAATAAACTACAAAATGAAAGATTAAGCAGGGAGACACATTTGAAAAGAAACAGAAATGCAACAAGGATTCAGTAGCAGTTCTAACTGTGAAAAACCAAACTTCAATATTTGAAAAGGTCCAACAAGTCTAGGATTACTAATCAGTCAAAAAGTTTAATGCAAATTAATCTATCTATACAAACTGGAAGCCAGATAGCCAGTTTCAACAGATTTTCAGAAACTGGTCGCTCAAAATAAGCCCTAACCCAAAAAATTATTGCAGTTGTGGCATTCATAAACATACCGCTTGCCTAAAAGCAATGCAAACTTCTCGTGCCATTTCTTTCTCAGCAGGAGTCAGGAGGACTGGATACCTAACCTGCCAAATCAAATTGTAGTCATTTTTCAACAAGAAAAATTAAATCACTGTTGCACACCAGTCAGCTACTCCAGCCTGCTTTTGAATGTTAAATATTAATCCATCCAAAATCTACAGCTAAGACAAACATTGAATGTTCATGCAATTAGAGAAGGATTTACTAAAACTACCAAAAGCAAACAATTTAGGCAACGAAAAAGTGGCTGTTACTGTTTAGGAAAGCTCCGATGCAAGGTGGTGGTGCAATGAAAAACATGCAAGACGAGACACATTAGAAGAAAATAGATGTGACAGAATAGAATACAAACAATTACAAGGAATAAACAATACTCCAAACTACCAACTCTGAAACACGTTTTATACTAGTGACTACAAGTAGTTTTAAATTAAAACATCAAAGAAATAATAATCGTAAATAGGACGATAGTTCTCTTTTTGAAAGAAAACCTAAAGGTTAAACAAGTACATGAAATATCTGAATCAATAACTCTCAGTTAGAGTACTCAGATCAGAATACATGGCTAGAGCATTATTCCCAGTCCAAATATAGTTTTAGTCTCAGTTAGCTAGCATAGTTAGAATTTCTTAGGATTCATTTACAACTGAACCACTGTATTGTCTTCCAATAACTACATGATGTATCCAATCACTTAATCAGTGCAATTACTTATTTTCTATTATCAAAAAACATATCCTGTATTTCTCTGAAATTCAAGATTCTTCATTCATATTATCTGTCGGGTTAAAAAAATTATGAGGAATAAACTGTTTTTTAGGGTTCTCGTTTCAAATGAAGGATGCACAAGCATTAACCAAGGATTAAAAATCATACCATGACAGTTATCATAGTTTAGTTTAGATCTAGAGCCCAATTGTTTTATTAAATAACCTTGCCAAATTATTATAATAGGGTTATTAGCTTTAGTGAGTCATTGTTTTTATTAATATTGTAATTTCAGTCATAGAGTTATCTAAGTAATTTTTCCCTATCTATATTTGTGTTTTGGCTAGGAAATATTATTTAGGCAGTGCTGGAGGTAAGAAAATGGCAGTGCAACAGAGGTGTAATAGGTAGGGACATAACTGATGTTGATAGTAAAGGATGTATTTTTCCATTTAGGTTCTGAGAATGAATGAAGACACACGTCAACTACATGAATATTTTAGCCATAAAATGGAATTATTATTGCATTCCTAGGATTATAATAAATTACTGTAAGTTTTCAAAGCTTGATTCAAATAAGACAATGATTAAATATTTTTTCTAGGAATAATAAAATATACCATGAACCAACTCCCAAAGTTTCTCTCATAAATATTTTAAAAAATAAATAATTAAAAATATAAGAAAATTATTCAAATTTCATGAAGGGCCTAGTAGAATTGATGAATATATACTTCAGTTACTTTTAACTTGTGTGTTTGGCAACAGTAGTATTTTACATGAACATAACATTTTTGGTTTGATACTTGTTGGTTATAGCAGTTTACTTTACAGTGGACAAGCACGCATTCACATTAGCAATTATTAAAAGGAAACTAACTGATGTGACCAATGTCTAGTATTCGAAAACAAACACAAAATTTCTTTTGACTGACAACAAAGAGCAATATATTACAATAAGAAAACCTGAAAGCAATCTTTTTATGTAACAAAAATAGACAATAATTATTAGAAAAGTTATGCATAATTGATGTTAAGTACAAGAATAAAATGTAGACTGTAAGAGCCAAAACAGATATATGGGAGAAGGGCTATATTGTTTGACAGGCTTCTTACTTCCTTCCCATCAGGATTTCTCATCACAACGCCATCAACAACAGGAGACTTCCTCGCCTCAGCATGCGCGTATTCAGGGCCAACTGTATATACCTATAATCATATGTCAAAATGTTGAAAATCATTTTTGTTTGTGAAAAGCTGCATAGAAACATCACATATGCTATAAAGTAACAATAAAACAAACACAAAGCAACATAAGCTTCTCAGCCAAACCTTAACATCTGTCCCTCCAGTTGGCATGAACTCCTCATAAATATAGGATCCTTCACGCCTCACTCTTCTCACCTCTGGATGGAACTCACTAGACCTGTTGCCAACCTAAGATCATAAAATATCCAAAGCAGTCTAAATTACTTCATATGACTGAAAAAACAGAAATGATAACATCAACTATCCCAGAAGTTCAATGTTTCTTTTAGGACATAGAAAACTGATTTCACAGTAGGAACACAAATGAAATGGAATGAGTTGGAATGTAATGGTCATTCCAATACAATAGCCTTGTAACATCGTTTGATATAATGAATCAACGTGGACTGGAATTGAAATTGATTTAATGATGTAAATGCCTATTTATAACAATAATAATAATAATAACAACCAAAACCTCATATGCCACATGAATACATATTATTGACTATTGAACATCATTCCAGTTTATTTCTTTCTTACCAACTTGGTTACAAAAAAAATAGTCACTGAAAACAGAACAAATGTTTTTTTGTGATGGACAAAATGTTAATTGTCATTTGCTCTGAATGTACTATATACAAATTAAACTCTACTCATGTTGTCTACGTAACTATTTTAGCAGTAGTATCTTCCACCGATTAAGGGTTAAAGCAAATTAAATTTAACAAGGATAATAACAGCAGTTTTTTGTTTAAACTACTCAGGCTATGATAGGAAAAGGAAAATTAAATCACTTAGCATGATGGAGCATGGAATCCATGTGGGATTGAGACATTCTTCGTTTTTAATTTTTTTTCATGAAAGAAAGAGAGAACATAATCATACAGCTGCAGTCTTTCATGATTTGCTGAGTACTCTAAAATGCTAACTGTACTACAATACACCCGCCTAATTAGGGAGAATGATATGTTGGCCTAAAGCTTTACCTTCCTAAATAATTCCTTCATACCTCCACCAGCTGAACTTGGATAGTATATCATTATACTATGATTATCACCTTCACCAAAAATAAAATAAAATAAGGGTTATACCACATCCATGAAAATATGTCTAAATAGTTATACATCAAGTAAACAAAAAGATAATATCAAGGTCATCATGAGAACTCAAAATCTTTATTACATTTTACAAAAAGACCCGTAGTAATTATACATTCAAGACAGATTCTGCATATAATCAAATAACTATAGCATCTATGAGAGTATAACTTCAATCATTTTAATATATGGTACAAAACGGACAAAATTATTTTAGATAACTTAACTATGCAATACCCACAAATTTCTGAATTTCTCAATAGATAAGTACCAGTAGTTTTTAGAGCTATGCCTCTCAGACATGTAATGCTAATTGCTTTGCAAAGTATTATATATCATTTTCATCCTAAAGCAAGTTAGCGTAATGTTTATTAATCAGTTGCATTTGTAGGCAGAGTATTAGATCACACAACACATTGCCTTCAACCATGACAAGAACGAAACATGGAGTTTCAGTCTTAAATACAAGAAATAGGCTCACCATCAATAGGTTTCTCCACAAATGGTTTCCAGAAACGCATACCATGAACCTCAACAAAATCTTCTTCCTCGATGAAGTAGTCCAACTGTTGGTATGGCACTTCTCTATTTACAAGGGCATATCTTGGAACAGGGATTTCAAACTTTTCAAGACGCTGAACCCAAAATTGAACATTATTAAAACCATTACAAGTGAGAAGAAATAGCAAAAAAAGTATTTGGCTGTAATAAGCCAAACATTAGCACACCAATCATATGTACACACACAAGATATTTTATCTAAAACTCTAAATGGAAGGAGCATATGTGTGGCCTCCCCCACTCCACACACAAAAAAAAAAAAAAAAAAAAAAAAAAAAAAAACTTCTAACTTCTAGAATTTCTTAGCTGGGTATTTCTTTAGACTAAAAATAACACAGATTTCTGATGAACAAGGGCTACTCAGCCCTAAAAAGGGTCAAAGGTAGGTTTTGACCATTGTCAATGACCAATTTCCTAAAGGCACAAGCCCATTTTTACTTGTTCTGAATTTAAATGTTGCATTGGTGGAAGAGGACGGAATGGAAGGGACTAGAAAATAAAGGCATATGTTCTATAGTTTAGATCATTTAAATGAGGGTAGAATGTGATGAATTAGTCGAACCCATTTCATATTAGCTTCTCTTTTACCCAGCCCCCCTCGCTCCCCAATTTGGGAGGAATGAGATGGAAAGGGATTTTGATTCCATCATAACATAACCAAACAATGGAATTGAGGTTTTCTTCCATTATGATCCATTCAATTGCATTTTATCCAGTATATTTTCTAATCCAAACCAAGTCAAAAAGGCACAAATCACGTTTTAATAAACAATCCAAGATTGTGTTTTTATCTCTAACATCTGCTTCCTTACATCCAATTTAAAAAGTATCATTAAATCAAATAAATGTGCAAAAGACTAAACCCATAGTAAATGCTCCCAGGAATAAAAAATCAAGTCATGCTTAACATGAGAAACATATACCAGGGCAATCAGCATGCAGCCATATAGTATAATACAAAGCCATCAAGTCTTCAACAGAATGAAATCTTCTATATACTTGTTTCTTAAATGGAAATCAGAAATAGCTTAATGTAATGAAGGTGTCATGAAATATGAAAACAAAGAAGTTAGAACATAGAAAAAAAGAAAAAGACCCCTCCCCCTTTTTACCTCATATACTTTTCTTCGATCATGAAGAAGGTGCTGCGGCTCCAGTTCATTTACTAGAAAGGGTCTGGATCACAGTGCATAGCTTCTAGATCAGGAAACATTCTCATCCAATAACATAAAGAAAACTATAACAAAAGTAATCAACAGAATACTATTTAAAAAATAAAAAACACACACAATGGGAAGAAATTGTTCCGCTGTATGTACATATTTAAGTGAGCATCGCCATTGTCTTGGGGAGGTAAGGGGGGCAATATAGAAAATGTGTCAATATCCCAACATTCTGCTTTTTTTATAATAATGGAATTAATTACATAAGGATACAGTTACTAAGAATCCTTAAATACTATGCAGTATTTCCAACTTTCCCTATTTACATAGATAAAAAGATATCATCTTCAATACTCTCCCTCAAGCCAAAGCATATATGTCATCTAAACTAATCTCGTTATGCAATCAATACAAGTGTGAACATATGTACTTATTGGTCAGGAATGGAAAAAGTTGGTGGTGATTTATGTTGAGAGAACTTTCTCTCTCACAAAGTGCAAACTAGCCTATGGTTATTCTCATATTACATCAGCATTTTCCCATCCTAGGTGTAACTGACCATGGCTCCAATAATATTTCCAGAACATCTTACATAGCATCATCCAATACTTTGAAAATAATAGACTACTGTGGTTTATTGTTTAAATAATTTATATGACACAAGATCAAATATAGTCAGTAAAAAGACTAACTTACTTTCTTAAAGCCGCATATGCTTCCGCTTTTTCGAGAGGATATCCAGAGGAATGAAAAGCAATCAAACAATCGCACACTGGCCAGCTGAAATAGCATAATGTATAAGTTTAGTATGCCAACAGTGGAATTCTAAACACTGGAAATGTTGACAACAAGAAATATTTCAGCTATAACTTACAAGTCTCAAATGCAAATATTTTTCATCGAACATATTGGAAAATAATGGGGAAAAAACGGTTTGGTCCCTTGTTTGGATGCATTGTAATAGAAGAACAATGCAGGGTGAGGGAATAAAGTGTTCTGTAGGAATAAAAATGCTAAAACCACCCTCTCTAACATACCTTTTTACACAGATTCTCTCTCATTGGTTGAAATTTTTAATAGAAATTACAAAAAAGTGTGGGACTAACTTCTTGTTGAATGACTATTTTCCTGCTTTTGTAGTTTTAAACAAATTTCATTCAGTGAAAGAGTGTATCCTATAGAGTATGTTAGAGAGTATGCTCCTTGCACTTCTTGTGGTGTCAAATATACATATGCAAGTCTCGCCACTTCCAAAAGGTAAACATACAGAACAAATTAATGATTCTCAGCATCAGTACCATTCTCTTATTTTCTGTGCGTCTAGGCAAACAGTTAAAAGCTCTTTCCAATCAGCTCAAAAGGGCTACTACCAATGGCAAATTAAAAAGCCAGAAAAAAAAATCCTTCAATTTGGAATTTTAAGTTCTGCACACGTGACGTTTAGAAAATTATTTTGCTTAAAGCAACCAAAACTTCATGCCAAGGTGCATGTAAAATGTCCTGAAACTTGACAATAACTAATTCTCGTCGATTCATAGAGCTTGAGAACGGTATATAAATTATTTGAATCCACTGGTCAACGAAAAGAACTAAATACAAAAGCTATTATAAAATATTAAGTAGGTAACCGAACAAATAGATACTAGCTTTTAAGTAAAGCACAACAAATAAACGAATATACCGTTCTTCAAAATGTAGAATCAAACGAGTTCCAACTGATATTAACTATACCTCTCAATTGGTTCTTCAAGAATGACCTTGTCCCCAAAATATACGACCTGCATATATTACAACGTACAGGTGAGAAAAAAAATCAAAAAGCACAACCGTGGACCATCTCTGTAACTACTACACAACAAAAATATAATAGAAAAAAAAAATATATATATATATGTATATTTTTTTTCTAGGTTGATACAGCAATTTATATAATAATTATTTTCTCTCTTTTAACTCTCCATCAAGTCATTAATTACATCTCTCATGCTTCTCTCCTTTTTGTTGCTCTCTCTATTGTAAAAATAACACTTCTCAGAAATCAATGAGAAAAACAAAAGTAATAAAAACTATCATCGACTACAAAATATTACAATGTATTAGTACTACAAAAGAAACAATACGAACAGCTATCATCAGTAGATTCATGAAGAAGTCAATTCCAAATCAATGACGCGATAACCAGAACGTCGAAAAAAAAATATAGAGAACATTCACCTACCTCGAATTCACCAAACGCTTGTAATCTCTGAAGAATCTGCTCCATAGGCGCCGAAAAAACCTTTGATACAAGACAGAGCCACTGAATCAAAACATTCACGAAGACTCGTTGCGAGTGTGTCCGCTTCCACGAAGAAAGCAGAACCAGCACGCGAAGAAAAAACACATGATCCAGCGTAAAAAAAATAAAAATTAGAGAAAGAACCTCATAGCCACATTTCACCTTCTTTTCCATGACGCAGACTCCAATCGTTATCTTCTTCGCCGCCATAACTCCTTCCTCATCCATCTCCTCCACCATCCCGAACGCAAAAACTGTTCAAAGAATAAACTCGCAGCGATCGACGCCTCTTCGCGAACACAAGAAGTGAAGAGCACAGAACGCGGAGGACAAAGGTCCAAACGCAGTGAGAGAGAAATGCTGAACAGAAAAATCTAGAAAATGCTAAAAGAAGCAGGGAAAACGAGAGAAAAAAAATGACGAAAACTGGTGCCGCCGACTTGGATTTGTATTTATAATGGAAAAGAAAACGGAAAAGCGGGTCGCAAGACAAGTACAGTCTCACGCAACTCACGAGTTTACAGCCAAAGCGGAGAAATGGAAAGATAAACAGAGAGTAGTTAGTTGAGTCCTGTACCAGCCACTTTAATGCTTGGTTTGATTTTCTCCCAAAAAATAGAAAAACTTTTTGTTACCTTTTTCAAAAATATTTAATAAAATCACATTAAAAAACAACTTTTTTTTTACACTAAAATTATTGAATCTTATCCTAATACTGTATGAATTAAAAAAAAAAGATTGATAAAGAGAAACAATTTAAAAAGTTAAAATAAATAATATTTTCACCAAAAAACAATTTAACAGCATGGAAATAAGTAATAGACATTAAAACTGAAGTGTGGCACATGCGTGCGTGGATTGATGGGGAAAGTGTTGGAGGGATTGTGGAATATGCAATGGAAAGTGAGGTGGTAAGCTTTTAGGTGAAAAAGATGAGAGGTAGGATATGGATGGTATTTCTTTGTGAATTCTGATCTCTCAGTTAGAAGGATCCAAGTGGAACCTAACTTTTAGTTGTTTTCTGTGTCACTGTCTCAACTTGACACCGTTACTATTTTATGAGATGATTGTCTCTAGGGTAACCTTGGAGGCCTGAAAGATATTGGGCACTCGAATAATTATTAGGGAAGTGGAATCGGAAATGTTGGCCATCTGGTGAAACATGACTTCAGGTCCCCCACATGCACCACCAAACATCATTCATCCCTGTCTCACTCCTTTGCCCCTTCATCTGTTTCTTTTTTTTTTTTTTTCACCTTATATTCACTTTTTAAGACTATTGAAATCCATCCTCATTCCATTATTTTATCCAGGTTTTGGTAAACAAACCTTGTTGCTTTGGAATTACACTATTGTTTCTTTTCAAGCCACTTAAAGCTTTGGAATTATTCATTAAACATTTAAGTTGAAAGGATCTTGATTAGGTGGTTTATTCACCTAGTCCATTTTTTAAATGCATACAAATTTTGAACATTCGACTTCACAAGCTTAATATATTACTAATATTTAGGTTAAATTTTTAATTGTCATATTTTTTTCTTAAAAATCATTTTTTTCAATTTTTTTCTTTTTATAACTTTCTATAACCTTGTCTCGGGGCTTATGTTTTGACTTGATATTGCTTTCGATATCAGTTTAGATTTAAGTTGATAGTTGATTTGACAGCGTTAATGCGTAGATGCCTATAATAGAAACTTTATTCTACGTTTTTTTAAGTTGATATCACTTCTTTCTTTCTTTTTTTCTTTTTTTTTTCTGTTTTGACAACGATATTGTGTGTAGTAGAAACTTTATTATTTAACTCAACCTATACCTGCGTAAACAAATCAAACTTGTTTATTTTGGTTGTGAAATAATAACAAAATTTGACTTCATGCTCTAGCTTATTAACTAGTTTAATTAATAATTTTGACTTCCTGTTAACTTTTTATTCAACTCATCTTGAAGAATACAAGTTTTTTAAAAGAAAAAATATATTATCGAACTTGGATCAAGATGATATACTACATCAGTTATTTTAATTTAAAATAAGTATTGCTGAAATTAGTTTTTTTCTATAATTATTTATTTAAAAATACTTTTTTATTAAATAAGAAAAAAAACTGTATTAAATAAACACTTATTATAAAAAAAATAAACACAAACAAATCAGCCATAAATTATCTAATAATAGCTTAATTATGTATAATCATTCTTGAGTTGTAATAACAAAAGTAGATGTAAGATCTCCTTATAAAAATAATTAATGATCAAATTAAAAGTTAAAAATGAAAAACAATTGTTAGCTATTTTTTTCAAATTGAAAATATTCAGTAAATTTAGTTATCAAATCAATCGGTAAGTGTTAAATGATATAAGAGATAAGTTCATGATGTTAACAAATAACTTTTAGATAAAAATATTAGTGCAGAAATTAGTTATTACAAGCTCATAATATTAAAAAAAATTGTATATTAAAAACTACAAGCTCATAATATTTTTAAAAAAATTGTATATTAAAAACTAATATACAATGTATATATAAATAGTTAAAAAGTTTCAAGTAATGCAAATAATAAATATTTTTATCGAAATATATAAATGAAATTAAAATACTTCAACTTTTATATATATATATATATATATATATATATATATATATATATATATATATATATATATATATATGTGTGTGTGTGTGTGTGTGTGAATTAATGAGTTTATTATTAATCTTAAATATTGCAAATAAATTAAGCTTTCATGTTTGAGACTTATGTGTTAAAAAGAATGATGTAGAATAGAAACGTAGTAAATAAAGATGATAATTTTGATTATATAATAATAATTGACAAAGAAGGGACACACGTGTAAGAATAACATGATAAACAAAAACCTTTAATTTGATAAATAAATAAAATATGATTGATTTTTTATTAAAAATTAATAAATACTTCACATTAAGAGTAAAATTTTTAAATCTGATTAAATATTGATTTAGACTATTTCAAGTTTTAAATTAGTTTCCTTATGATATTATGCTATATTAATATTATTTGTTATAAAATATATTAATTTCATCTAATTTTATATTTTTGAAATTCTGTAATTTAATTATGCATATTATCAAGATTAATATATTGTTATAAATTTTAGCTAATTTTTTTATATTTCAAATATGTAACGTATTTAAAGAGTGCAATAGGAATTTGAATAAATTATTCAAATAAAAAAATTATATGAATTAGAAGATAAAACAAGTCTCACTCAACCTATTTCTTTCTCTTCCGTTGCACGTTCATTTTTGAAGGGTTTATTCAATTTCAAGGACTATATAACATGTTTATAATATTTGGATTCAACAGAGAAATAAAATTCACTTTTAAATCACCAAGGTTAATATTAAAAAAAATATTTAAATACTATTAAATTATTCAAATATTATCCGTTCAAGTGAAAATAAATTTTGTCCGTTGATCTGTTCACAGGAGAGGAGAAGTGATGAAAACACTATCTGCACGTAGTTTTGGATATATGGATAAATACAAAAACTACCAATTAAGTAACTGTTAATTTGGTTTCATGTTCTAACGTTGCTCTCACGTCATATCTAAACCACATAAAGGTATGCTTCATCTAAACCACTCATTTGTCATCCAAAAATAAAAATCAAAACCACCCAGTGAAATCCATTAAAGAAAATCTCAAATAAACCTTGGTGGGTAAGAAACAAATCTCAATTGATTTCATTGGTTAATTCTTTTTCTTTTGATGACTACCTTTTATTTAGATCCTTATTTGTAACAATAAAAAAAAAAAAAAAAGATATTTTCCCAGGCACACAGAAAAAGTTAATTGTTGATTAGTGATATATCACAGACGTGTAACGGATCATCATCCACTTTTTCTTTTAACGACAAAAGTGATAATCCATTAATAATAATGTTAGTGGTTTTCGATGACACATTGTACTCTAACCAATCACTGGATTGACTAAGGCAAAAAGAAATGGATAAAGTTTTCTTTATATATATATATATATATATATATATATATATATATATATATATATATATATATATATATATATATATATATATATATATATATATTCTGGTTTAGAATAAAATTAGTTTTGAATTGATTATATTTTTTTTGGACTAATTGAATTGAGTTTTGATATTTTTAAATATTTTGATAAAATTATTTTTTTATAATTGTATTTTTAATGTAAATTATCTATCAATTTTGCTAATTATGATATTTTATTAAAAAATTGATTTCATTGAGTTATTAAATTAATGAAGATAATTATTTAATTTAAAAAAAATGTATAATTATTATGTATTTTACATGATCTTTGAATTTTATATTAATTTAAGATAAAAATATGATTTAATATATATATATATATATTTAATAATTTTGTAAAGAAACTTCTAAAAAAAGTAGTTCTCTTCGCTTATAATAAAAAATTCACACTTTTATTGTTTTGTGATATATACAAATTTTTTTTATGTTTTTTGATATTTTATCATTTATATTTTAAAATTATTTATTTAAAATTTTAAATTATAAATTTTATTTTTTATAGTTCAATAACTATTTTTATAATCTTTTATTTACAAAATGTGTTATATTTCCACAAATGTAAATAGTTTGAACTGCGCAACATATTTTTTATCTCTACTAGTAAAACTAGGTGACACAAGTTTTTGACATTTTTTCATTTTAGTTTGTTATTTCAAAAGAGAGACAATTTCAATGTTAATATCGAAAAGTGGGGTGAAGTTCTATTTTTTTTTCATATTGATATTTCTCATAAATATAAAAAATATATAGGTTTGATGAAAATTAGTTAAATTAAAAAAAAGAATTTAATGAAAATGAAAATATTGTGTCAACCACTTGAAATAAGTAAATGTTAAAATCTTATTATAGTTTGTTAAGGTATGGAGCAATAACATCGTTGCTGTAAATACAAGAGACTGAGGGGTTGGTAAGAAAAAAGAAAATATTCAATTAAACATATTTTTTGGAAATATCTATTCCAGAGAAATGGATAAAAGATCCTGCCACAGAACAGTAAAAAAATTTAAAAAGAATAAAAAAAAAGAAAGAAAATTTGGATCTATGCCCAATGAATTGCAATTACGAACAACAAAATTGTTTTGGTTTGAGCAGTAATTTTTATATGAAATAACATAGATCAAATTAGTACAATTTTTTTTTTCTAAAGAGATAATATACAACTTCAAGTTATTAATTAAAATGAAAAATCATACAAATATATAATTAATTAAGCCTGGTTTAATCTTAAATTGAAATCCGTACAAAAAGTTTTTTTATATCTAGATGCCTATGTACATAAGTTTAATAATATATTTTTGTGAAAGAAACTGTTATTTCAAAAATTAGATCATCAATTCAGACTAGTTTAATGTTTCTAAATAATCAAATTTTAATTAAATTAAAACAAAATCAGTAAAATTTAAAAAATTGACTGAATTATTAAATTGAATCATTTTTATAAAATTTATAATATATTTTATTTTATATTTTACATTAATTACGTTAATTTTAAATACTAATTATTTAATTCATTTTTATTTTATTTTCATAATTATTCATATTTTATTTTCTAATATATTTTATATTTATAATGTATAATATAATTTATTCTAATTATGATAATAATTTTTATTATTATTTTTATATATAAAAATATTATTATTAATAATTTTATTATATATTTATTACATTATAAAAATATTATTTTATTAAATTTGATTCATCAATTAAATCTTTAAATCTTAAATTTTATTGATTTGATGATATTTTAATTTTAAAAATATTAAAATAATAGTTGAATAATAACAAAAATAAAATTTAAGTTGAAGGAAACGAACCCAAAACTTAATTATTACTATTTAAAAGAATATAACGGAACTAAAATTATGCTATATTAAACAAATTAAACATGTAACTATACAATATAATATATTTTACTATTTAAAATGATAATAAATATTTGCATATAAAGCTTAACAAATTTGTAATCATATCTAAAGATCAAAGGGATCATTGGAATAACTTTATAATAAAATACTTATCAAGTGAGTGTCCTAATCAACTGTGGGCGTGTTAATGCTCCATTTATGTTACTTTTACTTTTTTTTTCTTTTAATTTGCATATATCCCATTATATTTTATAACAAATTTATATAAGATTCATATTATTTCCTCCGAAAAGTGTTTAAACATTTTGTTATAATATATTTGTTATGATTAATTTTTATATTTAAAGTATAGTTGAATTTATAATTATCGTTTATGATTTTATTTTTAAGATGTGTCTTAAAAAAATTATTCTGAAAATCTTAAAATGTTTTGATATATTCCCAAGTTTTATACCATAGGATAAAAGTAATTTATATATTTTTTTTAAAGTTGAGATGTATAAATTAATTTTAATTTTTTTTAATAAATATAAATTTAAAATAAACTCCGTTTGTAGACGTAATATTAACAATCAAAAGAGTCGTGTTGTAGTAAACATTTTATAATTGAGAAAATTCAAAGTTGGCAACTTATGATAAAAAACGACTTGGACGACTAACTCTAGATTCCACGTTATAAGTTCCAATGTGTAGGATTGTGTTGTAATGGGAAACTGTGTAGTGTGATAAGGATTCAAATGGTGCTTGTTCAAGGATTAGTCCTTTATCTTTTTCATTTTTTCAGCCAGTAATACAGATTAACTTTTTATGCAATAATTTCATATTCTACCTTTTTGTTTTTAGGAAGTGGAAACAATAATGAACATTGTGAATGTAGGCCAATTTTACTAGGAAAATGATACTTTTACAACCCAAATCCATACAACTCCTATAAACAACTCTCTTTTAATATTATAATAATAGTTTTGTTTTAATTTTTATTTATATTCAATCATTTTATAGATTATTATATTAATAAAAGTGAGTTGTTTGAAGGGTTGTATGGTTTCTAGTTGTCAAAATATCACCACTCATTTTACTACTATCTACAATTGGAAAACGATAATTTCACAACCGGAAAACAAACATCTCGTTTGACAACTGGGGCGAAAAAGAATTTACTTAAAAATAAGGGTTTGACTAGTAAAATTGTAGGGGACAGACATGTAATATTGTAAAAATGGGGATGTAATGGTAAAAAGTGAAATATATGTTCTTCATCTCGCTCTCGCTTGTCTTCTCCGTGTCGCTGTTCTTCCTCTCGCTCTCGTCGGCGCACGGAAAAGAAACGTTCGTTCTCTCCCGGCTCTGGTTCGTCTATGTTTAAATATTCGGTTCTGTTCATTTGGTTTAGGGTTTAATATGGTTGTTGATCACGGTTTTAAATTTTAATTTGATGGTTCATCTTGTTTGATTTCGTTTGCATTGTAAAGAAGAAGCATACAACAACCATCGAGGTTAATGTATTCTTTGCTTTCTAATTACTCACAGATTCTCTGTTCTCTGTTTTCGTTCACTGTTGACTATCTCAATAGTCGTAAACATAAACCATGGTTGGCAAAAGAAAAAGCTCCAAGCGCACCCACTCAGAAGCGACTTCTTCAAGTACCCAAACTGTGACCATGAAGGAGGTGATAACCCCAAAGGTTTAGATAGCGGCTCTGGGAACCGCTATCTAAAGTCCCAATTTAAAAAAAAGATTATTTAAATTTGAAATGCCAACGGAACCACGTTGACGATGTTGCCGGAAAAATTGTACAATGCGGTGGTGAGTGAGTTCGACTGACAAGTTGGGCAAGTTCACAACCGCGAAGGTCGGGGTCGAGGTCGACGAAGGAACGAGAAAGTTCTGTGCTACAAAAATGAGAATCGGAGAAGGAGGAGAGATGACCAATGAATGAATTATTTAATAATAAAAACACTGTACATTTAATATTTTTTTATTCAGTAACACTGTATATTTATTATTTTTTTATTGGGTTGTCAAACGGATGTTTAAAACCGGTTGTCAAAATATCAGCACTCATCTACAATATTAGAAATATATTTTCTTTCTGGTTGTTGTTATTATGGTTTAAGCCCTGGATTAGGGACTAAAATATAAAAAAATAATTTTAGAAATTAATATTAGAGTGAGTAGAATTGAGGAGCTAAATTGATTATTTACTTATATTTATTTTATACATTGCATAAATTTTTTAATTTAATTAAAAAAGTAAGAAAAAAAAAATCAAGGAATGTGTAGTGGGCCAAATGATTGGGTTGCAATATCAGTATCCAATGTTTTTCTCAAGTTCATCATATGTATGTAGACAAAAAAAAAAAATCAGTGTGCAGTGGGTTAAGATATTATTATAAGAGGTGTTCCAGAGAGAAAAAAAAGTTATCTATGAGAAGTACTAATGTGTATAAGGTCTATTGCACCCACTAGTTATGTGTCCGTTCGTATTTACTTATTTTTTGATAAAATATATAATCAATTTGATTAATATAACTTAATATTACATTAATAAATAAACTATTTTTTATTATATGTTTTATTAATACAACACGTGACTGTTTTATATAACTTTATTACAAAATTATCATTAAATAAAAAATGTTTAGAAGTTTAATACCTAAATTTTCATACTATTTTATTTTACTGTATTTTAAATCTAGTTTTCATGCTCTGTCATTTGTAAACTAACAGTTAATCAAGTGAATGACATTTTAATTGAGTTTAATATTATTTGAATAATCTAAATCTTACTCCAATCGGGTCAATCAAGTAACTATACATAGTGATGAGTTAATGTTACGGCAATTTGAGATGCGCGAGGAAGAAAATTAGAGATTTCAGAACAAGATATTGAGTTCCAAAGTTGTAAATACATAGAATAAATACTAAGTTTGGAAACTAACATTTCTTGTTGGACTTTCACAAACGTCCTTGCCATTTTTTCCTTTTCCCTTTCTATGTTTTCTTTATTCCCTATTCCTTTCTATTCTTGAGGTGAAACATGGATTTTGAGTCGAACCCCTTCTTTCAATGATGTATTAATTTTCACCAATTCATGCACTTGTGATTGTCAACATCTTCTCCATAATTGTTCATGCTGAAAGCCGAAAGTTGGTATAACAAATTAAGAATACACATGCCTGTTAAAGAAAGTAAACAAAAGGTTAAAAAATAGTCGATAAACAATATAAAACAGTTTTATACTATTATCCATGTTTATTAACTTGACAATAATTATCTTTAAAGACATAGTTAATAATATAAACAGGAATACTGCATTATCATAAAATTCCAATTTTTGCAACAGTGGGAATGCATAAAAAAAAGTGGTAGAAAAAATCTCACCATCATGGGAAAGAATAGTGACAACAACGTGCATGTCACTGTTGTTAGGAGGCAATTGAAATCAGGGGATAAAGTTTGGGATAAAGTGGGTTGCGGGAACACACAACAATGTCATCATACCCTGTCTCTTCCTTTAACTTCTCCTTCAATTCCTGGAAACTACTTCCTTCGAATTTAAAGAATTTTTTTTCACTTTCTTTAGAAACATCCCCATGTTCATCACCCACATTATAAAATATAGCAATGATATTTTGACACCTCGAATCCAAACAACTACTTCTACAATCCTTTTTTATTAATATAATGGTAATAAAAAGATTTAATGAAAATAAAAATAAATTAAAATTATTATTATAATATTAAAAGTGGGTTGTTTTTTAAAATTGTATGGATTTGGGTTTTCAAAATATCATCTTTGTAAAATATCATCCTTCCGTTTTTGATTGATGAGCCAGTCTCCACTAAATTTTCATTCTGCACACATAAAACACGAACCCAATTTAAGATGAGTGATTGAAATTATATATGAATGAGATGAGATGATTATATCTAACCTGAGTTGATAGATCAGGAGACCTGCGATGGAAACTAAAGGAGGCATCATCGGCATAAGGAGGAGATTCTAACATGGCAGCATCTGCAGGATTGAGTGTGAGGATTGGTGCGGGAGGGGTTAGTCGAAGCTGTACGAGGTCGACATCCCAGAGAACCCAATTTGACGTTGATTTCTGCTGTCGGATGTCGTGGGTGATAGAGTTTCTCCAGGGTGGTAAGCCTTTATTGGCGCGTAAAAACCGTCCATAACGTGTTCTAAGCCTGACCTTCGCACCTTCTCTTATGGGTTCCCACGCCAAAGAGGAGTTTAACCTTGTGGGAAGGGTTTGCAACACTTTCTTCCCTGTGGTACCTAACAAAAATTGTACGTTGGAGGCTGTTAAGTATTTGTCATAGCAACTCTTCAGTCTTATCAAGTTGGCACCCGCCACGATTTCCACCGTCCATTTCGCATTGTTGTATGTCCCATTTCGGTCTTGGTAGACACCCACTTTGTCAACGTCTGCTAACAAATATTTGTCATGGTGACTCCTTAGACGCACCACTTCTGCCTTTTGGAAGAACTCCATTCCAAATGCCACCCCAGAAACGAAATAAAGAGGGAAATCAGAAGTTCAATTTTTGTGTATATTGTGGCGTTTGGGTACTAATAGGTTAGGCATAGAACAAGTTTGAGATACATGATGGAGAGTAAAAGGAGGGCCTTTCAGGATGTTTGTTTTAAATGTTAATGATGAGTGGAATTCTACTCTTAAAATTTGACCGCAAAACTAAACGAATGGTTGTCAAAAAATAGTTTTTCATGATTTGGATTATCTGACTAACTCGACATATCATGCAGCTTTAAAAATTATCACCTAATTTTGGTCGCTTTTAATTTTACAAATCCATAAATTAATGATTAGTTAACGAAATATACACCCTCTTAATAATTCATAAAATATATTATTACATGAAGTTGTTATTGGTAATTAAACATTTTCTATATTTGTATATTTAGTGGACAATTTTCATTTTTCAGTTATATTTTAGTCGCACCAAAATTTCTATGTCTATATATTTTTTAAAAGAACAGTAAAATCAAACGAGTTCCATATTAACTATACCTCGCCATTGGTTCTTCAAGAATGACTTTGTCCCCAACCGTAGACCATCTCTGATATCAGTACACAACAAAAACATAATTTGAAATATTTATATATATATATATATATATATATATATTTTAGGTTGATAGAGCAATTTATATAATAATTCTTTTTCTCTCTTTTAACTCTCCATTAAATCATTAATTACATCTCTTGTGTTTCTCGCCCTTTTGTTTCTCTCTCTTATGTAAAAATAACACTTCTCAGAAATCAACGAGAAAACTAAAGTAATAAAAAATAGCATCGACTACAAAATATTACAATGTATCAGTACTCTAAAAAAACAATACCAACGGCTATCATCAGTAGATTCATGAAGAAGTCAATTCCAAATCAATGACGCGATAACCAGAACGTGGAAAAAAAATAGTGAACATTCACCTACCTCGAATTCACCAAACGCTTTTAATATCTGAAGAATCTGCTCCATAGGCGCCGAAAAACCTGTGATACAAAACAGAGCCACTGAATGAAAACATTCACCAAGACTCGTTCCGAGTGTGTCCGCTTTCACGAAGAAAGCAGAACCAGCACGTGAAAAAAAAAACACATGATCCAGCGTAAAAAATAAAAAATAAAAAAATAGAGAAAGAACCTCGTAGCCACATTTCACCTTCTTTTCCATGACGCAGACTCCAATCGTTATCTTCTTCGCCGCCATAACTCCTTCCTCATCCATCTCCTCCACCATCCCGAACGCAAAAAACTGTTCGAAGAATAAAGTCGCAGCCATCGACGTCTCTTCGCGAACACAAGAAGTCAAGAGCACAGAACGCGAAAGAGAAAGGTCCAAACGTAGTAAGAGAGAAATGCCAAACAGAAAAAACGTAGAGAATGCTGTCTTGTATTCTCGTAAATAATAAAGTTTTATTGGTTTATTACAGTTATATTTATTTGTTACGTGAGTGTTATATTTTTTTAGTAGGTGTGATTCGTTAGTAGAAGAGTTTATTTTCTAATTTATCAGTTATAAAATTAAATTTATATATTTAACTTTTTTATTTAAAAAAAAAACATAATTAAGTTTTTTGAGATAACAACTATATTCAGGTTTAAAAAGAAACGGGAGAATTCTGGAAAAAGTAATTTCGTAATTTCGTGTAATCTGTAATTTGAAAGTTGAATGTACGATCATGGGATATTATTAATAAAAAATTTCTTAAAGTAACAAGAGTATTGGAATTTTATAGTTTCTGAAATTCTACATGCAAATGAGATTGTTTTATCCGATAATGAGCGAAAAGCCATGAAAAAGTTGAAATTAAAAGATTTAAAAATAAAAAACTACTTGTTTCATAACCTTGCTTTGAAACCATTTTAAAAAAAGTAACGTCGGAAGATATTTGACATTCATTAAAACAAAAATATCAAGGCAATGCGATGGTGAAACGAGTTCAACTATGTGCTTTACGATGCGAATGGGAGATTATATAAATGAAGAATGATAAATCAATTAATAATTACTTTCGGACTCTCTCAATTGCAAAGCAGATGAGAATGCAAGGTGAGAAAGTATATGACCACTAGTACAAAAAACACTTTTAACATTGGACTTTTTACATCGGTTGTTAAAGAACCGATGTATAAATTTTTTTAAAGCCTTTCCACATCGGTTCAGATGGGAACCGATGTAGAAAGTACTTTCTACATCGGTTCCACCATGAACCGATGTGGAAAGTGCTTTCTACTCTGATTTAAAATAATTCTGATCGTTCATAAACTCATTCTGATCGATCATCCAGTTCTGATCGGTCATAAAGCCATTCTGATCGGTCATTTGATATACTATTTTACTTTCTAATGTGGTTGTACATGTGGTTGTATACAGGGAATTGAAAAATGTGGTTGTATATGATAGCGGTTAAATCTTAACCGCTATTATAATAGCACTTCTAATAGCGGTTAAGTCTTAACCGCTATTATATAGCACGTCTAATAGCGGTTAAATCTTAACCGCTATTATATATATTCAAATATGATCGATCATTTGAAAATGTAATCGATCATAACCAAAAAATGTGGATGTCGCTCGAGCGAGACAGTGTCGCTCACGCGAAAAACCACCCGAGAAGGCCAATTTTGTGCAGGTGGCGTCGCTCGAGCGAGACCAGTGTCGCTTAAGCGAAATACAACCCGAGAATGCCAATTTTGTGCAGGTCGCGTCGCTCGAGCGATCTTATTGTCGCTTGAGCGAATGTTGACCTGCGTAAACGTCGATCAAAGTTAGCCGGATAATGTAACATGGGAGACCTCATGTTAGAATCGGATGTCGCTCGAGCGAGTATAGTGTCGCTCAAACGAAATACAACCCGAGAAAGTGCTTTTTACTCTGATTTAAAATAATTCTGATCGGTCATAAACTCATTCTGATCGATCATCCAGTTTTGATCGGTCATAAAGCCAATCTAATATGTCATCTGATATACTATTTCACTTTCTACATCGGTTCCCCCATGAACCGATGTGGAAAGTGCTATCTACTCTGATTTAAAACAATTCTGATCGGTCATAATCTCATTCTGATCGATCATCCGGTTCTGATCGGTCATAAAGCCATTCTGATCGGTCATCTGATATACCATTTTACTTTCTACATCGGTTCCCCCATGAACCGATGTGGAAAGTCTTAAAAAGAAAAATAATAATAAAAATTTTAGACAAGAAGCCCTAGACTCCACTCTTGCCCTTACAGACTCGACTCCCGAACCAATTACGTACTCGACTTCCTCCGGAATTCTTCCCTTGCTCCTAGCCATTACCAAATTCATTCTCGCAGTAGCGAAAACCACCGTCTCCTTGCCCCTATCGCAAGTAGCGAAAACCACTGTCTCTCCCATCTCCTTCCCCCAATCGAATCCCTAACCTCCGTTTCCCCAATCGAATCCCCAAGCGAAAACCACCCTTGCCGTGCACCAAGAACTGCGACGCGCACCGAGAACTGCGACGCGCACCAAGAACTGCGACGCGCCACCCTCGTCTTCACCTCTCCGAAACCCTCTAGGAGCTCCTCCTCATTGCACCTGCGCACCTTCGATCTCGTCGCGAACCGGAGGTGATTCGGACCAGGTCCGTGGGTCTATCCTATTGGCTTCTCATCCTTGTTTTGTCAATTACCTTTATGCATTTTCCTTGATTCTGGATTGTTTTGTTTGGTCGTTGACCGATTCTCGCCTGGGTTTAATGTATGTAGACATGTTTATTCCGGGTTTTGTATTATTATTTCCGTTTAGTTTGACTTGAATATGTGATTTTCACTTGGTTATTCTCGTGGGGTTGAGATTGGTGTTATCCAAGCCCTGTTGGGTTGGTTGATGTCGCTCGGTCCGAGTCTCTTAGCGGAAGAGTTAAGGCTATGGGTTTCCACGCTGGGGTGTAGGGCTTTGGGGTATTGATTATATTTGGTTCTCTTGTTTTTCATTTGGGTTTGTTTCTTATGTTGTTGATTTAGGTTTGTTCTTTGTGTTGTTTGTTTTGTTCCTGGAGTTTTACTCGTTGTTCCAAGTATTATTTCGGTTTGGATTATAGTTTGAGTTGTTTAAGTTTGTTGCCTCCGAATAGAGGTAATTCCATTTTCACACTAAGCAAAGACGTCATGTACCTATAGATATGGATCGGAGTTGGATAAATGCCAAACGTATAGAAGAAGAATATGAATTAGGGGTTGAAGAGTTCTTAGAGTTTGCACAGAGAAATGTGGGTAACAATAGAGGTCTCTTTTATTGTCCTTGTGTGAAGTGTTTAAATTTAAGACAACTAAGTGTGAAGGATATAAGAGAGCATCTCCTTTGTGATGGATTTTGCAAGAGTTACACTAAGTGGATTTGGCATGGGGAAGTAGTAGATTTCCCAATGGCTTCAGAGACAACTGAAATCCAGAAAGAAACCAATGATCGACTAGAGGATTTGATACGTGATATCGGTGAAGAGCCATTTGAAAAAGGATATGTATTCGAAGAACTATGCGAAGATAGTAAGAAGCCTCTGTATATAGGATGTTCTAAGTTCACACGTTGTACTTGAGTCAGAAGGACATTATGGATGTTGTTTTGAGTCAAGACATGATTTGCGTCACAATTCTCCAAGTCTGGTTAATGTAAGTCTTATGTTTTTATTTAAGTCAATTGGTTGTATGCCCTATTAGACACCAACTTGTCTAAAATGCAATTAACATGATATTTTCAATTTCTAGTTACCTCAACAAAGCTGTTGCGGAAAAGAGAGTAGAAGATGTCTATGGATTCATTGATCCTGTCCACATTCAGAGTTTGGGGAACAAACCAAATACTATTCAAGCATACATTCAAAAGAGATTTTGTGAAGGATCAAAGGAAGTTTATCTCGCACCATATCATTATGGGTAAGTTTTTTTAAATTACTTACTTTCAAACTTTGAATCTCTTAAGAATTGCTAATTGAGCGACATTTTTTGTAGGTCTCACTGGCAACTGTTTATCCTTTGTCCTAAATGTAATGAGACTATTTTTTTATGCTCTTTATGGAATAAACCCAAAAAGGAAATTAAACAGATTATTGATGTGTAAGTATACTAACACCCTTATATATGAATCTGTCTTTGTGACTAATTAAATACTCTAGGTCTGGTTCATGACAGATTAAATAACTGTAAAGATCTATGCTTCACTCCTTTGAGCTAAATAGTATCCAGATTTTACTTTTTATATTCATAAGTAAGTACTTCATAATAATTGTGCTTCATTCCCAAATCCCGATCCGAGACAACATTCAATTGTTTAAGATAAGTATACTAACACCCTTGTATAATATTTCATTAATTTCATTTTAAGTTCCACATGTCTTAATATGAAGTATTTTCCATTTAATCTTTTATAGGTGTATAGAAGCATACTCAATCATGGAGGGTAAGCCTAAAAAGAAACCCACATGGATACTTCCACGTGTAAGGACATTATCTTTCAAATTCTTAACTTTAATTTACTCATTTTCCGTATTTAATGTTTTTTTTTCTTATAGTGTAATAAGCAAAAAGGAAGTTGGGAGTGCGGATATTATGTGATGAGACATATGTTAACAATCATCACAAGCAAATATCACGAATTCATGGAATTTGGTATGTGTTATGACTATATCTATGTCATTGACATATATTTGCCTACTTCGCTTATCCGAAATGTTTTTTTTGTTTGTAGATATTCGATGATGGTCATCCAATAAGTGAAGCGAGAGATTGATGACATTAGACGAATTTGGGCAGATTTTGTTATTAAGAACTATAGTCGTGATTGAATTTAATTGTGAAACATTAGGATCTGCTAGTTTCTTTGTATATATAAACTTAGAATACAATACATGTTTATTGTTTGTTGATACAATACAATGTAGATATATAATATACATTATGTTTACTTGTGTGTTAATGCATGTCCTCTATATATAGATTAACATTCTGAGTAGCTATAAATATTTAAAATGCTGTACAGGTTCTGAAAAATCAAAAACTAAAATTCGTATTTAAAAAAAAATATGACTTTCCACATCGGTTATGGCCATAACCGATGTAGAAAGTGATTTTTAATACTTTCCACATCGGTTCTAGGCCATAACCGATGTAGAAAGTCTGATTTTCCACATCAGTTATAGCTATAACCGATGTGGAAAGTCAGACTTTCTACATCGGTTATGGCCTAGAACCGATGTGGAAAGTCAGACTTTCTACATCGGTTCTTAACCGATGTTAAAACTCACCAACTTTCT